AATAAGCCTGGGCTCCACATTCAGGCTGAATGAGATAATTCTGTTGTCTAAAATATTTCTTGAAGAGAAACTGTTGTAATTAGATCCATAAAGCATTGTTATTGTGCGACCACATATTTCCATCCTATTCTATTCATTCTATTCACAGGGTCAACCTCAAATAAACATATCAATAATATCTTTTAAGCATACTTTTAATTATAATTTCTGCTGATATGTCCTGTAAGTTTAAAATGTCTGCATGTAACACTTTTTATATACTTACTCTTTACATTTATATACAAATCTTTACATTTAAAAAGAAAATGAAGGGGCTGGGGATTTAGCTCACCAGCAAAACGCCTGCCTGGCAAGCGCAAGGTCGTGAGTTCGGTTCCCGGTACCGGAGAAAAACCAAAAAAAAAAAAAAAAAAAAAAAGAAAATGCTGGGGCTGGGGATTTAGCTCAGCGGCAAAAGCGCCTGCCTGGCAAGCGCAAGGTCGTGAGTTTGGTTCCTGGTACCGGAGAAAAACCCAAAAAAAATTAAAAATAAAAAAAAATAAAATAAATAAAATAAAATAAAAAGAAAATGCTTTTATTGTTTGTTTTGAAACGCCCCTTTGGGAAAAACCCTAACCATTTATAAGATGTAATGCTCTTAAGAACTTAAGTTCCTCCTGCAAGGAATTTAAATTTCTGAAGCCAGCATGTACTTCCTACACAAGTACAGGAGGCATTCAGTAAAATATATGTTCAATAATCAACCTCTTCTGATCTTTACTATGCATACATAGTTCTCTTGGTTGTAGTTATTATGTTCAACCCAAAGTGAGCTTTACTTTTCATGATTAACATTTTTTATATTAACTTTTCCACAAACCCACAGGGCCTCCACATCTGTCATACCATATACTCCTCTCTGAAGTGGGATGGGAACTTAGGCTCAGGGAATGATCCACAAGATTCTGATGTGTCAGTGAGACTAATCAGACCTAGTTCTGCCAGAGTCTACTCGCCTAAGGGTTCTAAAAAGCTACTAAAAGAGAGGAGTAAAAAATCATGCTGAAGTGAGTTAAATCATGAAAACTCTAACTAAAGAAAAATGAGTCAAGCCAGGTATGGTGGCACACACCTGTAATCCTAGTACTCTGGAGGCTGAGGCAGGAGGACGGCTGCAAGTTTGAAGCTACAAAGTGAATTCAAGGCTAGCCTGAACTGCATAGCAAAACCCTCTCATAAAGACAAAAAAAAAAAAAAAAAGAAAGAGAAAGAGAGTCAAAGGGAAAAAGGCATTCATCATGTTTGCAAATAGGGTTCATCCTACAATATAATATGATTGTCAGTGAGAACTTTTTTTTTGGCAAAACCTTGTTTTGCCAAATTCAAACGCAATTACATAGGTAAAAATTGGTCAAATTAAATTATTTTCTCAGGCTCCCTTTCTCATCCTTAAAAGATGTGATTCAAGTGGTATTCCATATATGATCCCTTTAGAAAAATGACCTGATTAAAACAGATTATATTTTCTACCACAAAATGAAATATAATCTCTCAATATACAAACAACATTGTGCAATTCAATTTCAGCTGGGTCCATGTTGGACCCACGCAGAGGTGGTAGGGAATGAGGGTCATGATACCAGAAGGGCTAGATTCATTTATGTGGCGGTTTCACAGAACTCACTCAAAGCTGGCTTCATTCCCAGGCTCTGAGACATACCCATATACTGCCAGGTATCGAAGAGAAAAAAGTACTGTCACCAGCTAGAGCAGGTCCTTGCTTTGGTGATAATGGAAATTAAAACTAAAGCACAAATTTACAGGGAAAAAAGCTTTAACTGGAAGTTAAGAGAAGATAAGGAAAGGATTCCAGCTTGGGCACACTCTGAAGTGGGGTTCAGACTGTCCCACCCACAAAAGCAGGAAGCCAATTATTTATGGACTAGCTAAGATGGTCCAGGGCGTGGTCAGTTATAATCTTAGTCCTGGTTTCCTAGCCCTGGTTGAGCCCTCATGAGCTGAAAAGCAGTTTCCCATGAGAAGAGTCCTGGTGAGTTGAGGGCTATTCTCAGTCATTCGAGCCTCCGCTAGAATCCAAGGTGACCTTAGGTTTAGGGCAATAGAGATTGTAGGGGTAGCTAAATGTCCCTGCAAATCTCTTATCCCAGTGTCCTCAGTTTTGAAGGGTAATGAGACAGAACAGGTAAATTTAGAGCTAATAAACCTTGTTTTGCCAATCTTTAGACACACATTCCCTAAGTAACATGCCTACATATAGAGCTATGCCATGACTATGTGAATACCACGAGACTATCTATGTCAGACATTTGAATTTGAGGATATCAGAATAAAAAGCTTCCAGTCACATAGCGCTTGCATGGGAGTGGGGGGGATTCTACAGTAAACAAGAATTTCTAATGAAGAGCAAATATAAAGTCAAATTTGGTTAAGTTAAAATTTAAAATGCTCTTTGAAACCCAGCAAATAGAATATTAATTATAATGGTTTTCTACTTAAAAGTTTGACACCCAAATTGTTTTTAAATTTCAAAGGCTACCTTCTTACACAGCACAAACATACCAAACTAAAATAATTTGCAGGCTGACACCTAAATATCAGATAAATTTTGACCTACATTAGTACTACATACTTCATTTTATAGTGACTCACCATGAGTAAGCTTTCAGTCATTTTCTTTGGAATGTCAGGGTATAAAAATGTCTAAGTCTGCATTGTATTTACTTCCTCAAAAGAAAAAAAAAAAAATCAAGATTTTACACTTGATTTCTCTTAAATACTTTACAATGGTACAAAGTTACTTTTGTCAAGCCCAGTTTTTTTTAATTACTGTAAGTCAACTGTTCAGAAATTATACTCCATTTCCTCATTGACACATTGCAAAGGGCAGTAAAAATCCGACCAAAATCTACTTCATTCCTGACAAAACTAATGTGGGTGGGACTTACTGAGTCCTCAAATTCCCCAGAACATGTTTCAGTGCATATTTTAAACATCCTGTATTACAAAAGCTTAATCAGCTGATTTGGGGAGAACAAGAGTTGACTCACTGCACTCACTGCCAAAGCCTCTTCACTGGTCCGACCAATCCCTCTCTCCTAGGTACTCTCCTCCACTGTGCTGTTGCTTTTTTAACCAGAAACCTGACTGTCACACTCCCTCTGAAGTCTTCTGCCTAAAGAGCTTCCTACAAGGTAAAGTCTGAACCCCTATGCTCAGCATAGAAGGTCCCCCAACTGGTACTACTCTTCCAGCTTTTACCCTCCATCCCTCTCTCAAACAGTGAACACCTAGAGTCAAATTATGAGACACGCTCATAATTTCCTAACAAGTCTTTTCTTTTCACTCCTCCCATACTCCTGCAAAAACTTTTCCTTCTACTTAGAAGGAATTGCTACCCTTTCACTTGAAAAATTCACCCACTTAGTTCAGTTCAAGTGTTTATAGGCAACAGATAAATGTTGGCTAAATTTGCCTTTTGCTTAAGTGAGGGGCTAGTCATACATATCCCATTGAAGCCACAATTAAAAAACATAAGGATATTCCATTCATTTATACAGTCATGTAATGATAAACATAGACAGGAACTAAAAAATATACTTTATATTTACAAATACATAGTAGCATGGATTACTAACAGTCCACATGTGTCATCTACTTTATTTAAATGCTGTTAGATGCTCTACCTAGAACACCACAGGAAAAGTAGTCCAGGAAAGATTTAGCAACGGCCTCTTCAAAAATCTTTCAGTACTTTGAGCTTGAAGTTTTTTGGGTTTTTTTTTTTTTTTTTTTTTTTTTTGGTCTTTTTGAGACAGGTCTCTCACTATGCAGTGCAGGCTGGCCTTGAACTCATTTTGTAGTCCAGGCTGGTCTCGAACTCCCAGAGAGACTCCTGCCTCTGCCTCTGCGTCTGCCTCTGCCTCCCGAGTGGAGCTTGAAGATTTTGACACTGGAGCAAACTGACTTAGTTTTAAAAGAAAAGGCCAAAGATAAGAAAGAACGTCATGTGTTTTCGAAAAGCCAACATTCCTATACTGAACTTTTCCATCATCACCTTCGGACAATTCTCAAAGCAATGATTCAGTGAAAACTCATTCTCCAACATACTCCATTGCTGCTTGAGAAAATATAGCCATGCAAACAATAATTTAATACAAAAGCCAAAATAAATAAGTTAGCTCCACAAAGAAACCAGAGTGCTAATGATTTGTTTCCACTATGTTGGGCATCTCCACCATAATTAGCTCACATATTCATCGCGGGAAGTTTCACAACTCAAAAAACGATTTCACATAAATGATTTCATTCCTAACGATAATCCCGTGAGTTAAACAGAGCAAGGCTTATTTGTAGGCTTAAGGCAATACGAACCCAGTCTGAACACAGATAAAAGCCTGGCTATACAAATACAGCACTCCGTTTCCGAAAAGTAGTTCTCACTACAACAAAAATGGCCCAAGAGAAATGAGCTCCCTTTGCTTTATTCCATCTCTATGTTTAGTTCTGTGGACCCACTGGTGGTTCCGCTAATAAAATGAACGTCAAAACCCCAAATTATCACAACCTCAAGCAAAAACTCCATGTCCCGGTCTCCTGCCAAGCAAGTGCCACCAAGTCCGCGAGCGACAGCGAGGCGCGAGCGCTCGGTCAC